GAGAAAAAGTTTATTAGTAGAATATCGAAACATTTTTTCTCGGCGATCTATTATGCATGTCTAACTACTTAAAAGTCGATTTTGACACATGTCACTTCATCACTGGTATGGCGGTAAATTAAAATAGTTATTTTTGTATCTAGAGCGCGAAATGCTACTTTGGTGATCGAGATCTGATTTTTTTAACGAGGCGTAGCCGAGTTAAAAAATAGTCGAGATGACCAAAGTATTTCGCGCTCGAGTTGCAAACAACATTTTTTCTACAAACGTCAAAAAATATAGTTCTGAAGTAAAAATATGCTGAGCTTGTTACAAAAAATAGTGTTGAACTGGCCTAAAAGGCCTCCCCCTATCATCCCAAGGTATACGCACGATGTTCCACGAACATAATAGAAATTTCCTTTCGTGCGCTCCAAGAGATAAAACAGAGTTATTTTTGAACATTCAGAAATAATTGATTTCGTGGATGTTTGCTCGATTGAGGACCATGAAGTTGAAAAATATTTATCTCATATATTTTACATAACAATGCGCGAAATAGGTACTTCGCGCACTGTTTTACTTCGCGCATTGTATTGTGCAAGGTATCATGGTAACATAGGAAACTGAAAAAAAGGGTCACTTCGCAATTTGTTATCAATGCGCGAACCTTGTCATTTTTTGACGTTTGTAGAAAAAAATTACTATGGCAAAAAGTGGGGTTAGATGGGAAGATGAAGTTATTTAAAAAACATAAAAATAGCTATTTTCAGTTGTCTCAAATAATGGCTGGAAACTCCATATGTGAGCATGAAATTGAATTCTATTCGACTTGTACATCATCAACATCACTACTGTCAGCAAAAATGAGGATTGTAACAAAATTGAAGAATATTCGAAAAAATATAGCTATTTCCAATTCTCCTCCAAAAATTGCTCGAAACTGAATGTGGAATAGCAACTTAATGAGAAATGTTTATGGATATTTTGTTATCTGACCCCACTTTTCGTCGCTTTATAGTATTATTTGTATTTATCACCATACCAGTGATCACGTGACATGTGTCAACATCGATTTTCAAGTTATCGGATATGTATATAGTTATCGCCGAGAGAAAAAAAATTGATGCTGTGATAATAAACCTGTTCTCATATGTTATGGACTTTATGAATGATACTTGATACTGTATATATCTGTCATGCTTGAAATAACAAAGTCTTGCCAAAATACGATCGAATTTTTCAGCTTAAACTAGTTAAAATCAAAGGTAATAGTGCAATTTGTCTCATTTTTAAAAATTTGAATGAATTCATGACTTTCTCGAAAAAGTCAATGGAATTAATTCACGAATTAAATCACTGCTTTAATTCATATGAATTAATTCATGCCAACCCTGTTATCATGCACAACACAATGGGGAAGTTTCTTATATTGAGATCAAATTTCACTTCAGAAAAAAATGAAAGAACATGGCTCCTCCACCATTTCTATGACGTACTTTCTGAAAAATCCACATTCAAACAGAGTTAAAATACGACATCTTCGATATATCTAGATTTCCTGAAATTGTTCTTTGAATGCATAATAACTATATCATAACAGCAATGGGATATAATAGGTTATTCAATCCTACTTTGTCAAGTATTCTGATGAAGATAAATTATGATATTTTGCGATAGTATCTATAATTTTTCACTATCTTGATAATACAATATGTTATTCATAACTTGTCAGTCATTTTTTTGCTAATGAATTCGTTCCTCAACAAAACGGATCTATTTCCTAGGAAAGTTGCAGATTATATCTTGCAACAGCGCCTAATACTCCGAGTCCGTCCACACCACTCAAAATACTGACAGGCACAACAAGAGGAAGGAGCCATGGGTGTCGGCTTCATTCTGTTCTGAGCGATGGCAGGAAGTTTGGAAGGATAGTATCATTGAATGTAGCCGATAGTGATTCATTGATTAGATAATATTTTCGTTGAGGATCGAGATCTATTCGAGATATTTCAATGCATAAATAACGAAACCATAACCTGTCAGAATGAAGCCAACTAGCTTATGCATTCCTGCTCCGAGTGCATTTGTGGTTATGTATATGTGTTTGTTTACCAGTTTTACTTCTTCTATTTTTTTCATTCGTTAGCTATTCGATAGCTATTCGCTGGCTATATTCTTCACCATCAGCTATTTTCAGACTAGACTCAGAGTTTACGTCACAGTTTTCCGCCCCAAAAATTAGACATTGCATAATTTGAAAATAAAAATGACTTGGACTTTATCGGTCGCCATTCTGTACACCGTGGACATCTGAAGGAAACTTCCCCATTTCTTAAACACATTATTACCATAGCAACATAGTTTTTTAAACACACCTTCAGTCGTTCGAGGCTTGTACGGCCTGTCAATTGTAGGAACTGTCAACTGTCATTTTCGAATTTTGTTGCAATCAGAATCATTCTAACAAATTCTTCATTAAAACTGTATGTGAAATGTAGACGAAAGTTGAATCGGAGAGAATGTTTTAGGTATGTAGGTACTTGCATATTTCGAAGAACTCTAGGTAGAAATTAAGCTCTCATCGTCTCATCTTTGTGGGCAATTAATTCTATGCTAAGCATGACAATAAACGTGAAACACAATATTCATGTGAGCATGAAATCTTATTCACAAAGGCCAGGAGTTAGGTAACAAAAAACCTCGCAAAAAAAAACAAAAAAAGTCCAAGCCATAGCGCCGCTATTCATTATCTGATTTTAAATAACAAAAATGCAAATCTACAAGGTGTCACCAACAAGTTTTTGCAATTTCAACTCTAAAGACATCGATTGTCAACTTTTTTTTTCAAATCGTATCATATATTTTCATTTTTTTTATTCTGATTAAGAATCCCGTCGGCAAACAATTAGCAAATGGATCATATCTTAACATTCTCTATTGAGTCATTGAAGGTTGGGTCCGCTGCTTATAAAAAAATACCTCGAAAAATACATTATAATGAAAATAGTTATTTATTATAGGGGAAAAAAGTAGTAGATTTTAGCTCGAGATTTTTGTTGAGGAGACAAAAAATCGTGAGGTACAATCTAATATTTTTCCGTCTATAATACACTATTTTTTCTGTGACAGAAAAAAGGACGATCCAATATTGGAAAGATATTACATTAGGTATATTAAAATCAGAAAATCATCGACGTGAAATTTGACGTTTTTGACAGGAATTACACCTACGTTCCAGGCACCTTCATCATTCTTTTGAAACAATCAAATATCTATCAGTCTAATTCTGTGATTTGATTTAAAAATATTAGTAATTTACATAACCGCGAAGTGGAATGAAAGATAAAAGGACCAGCAGTTCTTTCTCGGATGCGGTGTTATTGGCTTATTTGGAACTATAACAGAACAAAAGCCATCAACAGTGTGTATATATGTATATATCCGGGAAAAAAGTCGAAAAAAGTACTCACTTTTTTCCTGTGGGAAAAAATTGATTTATGAAAAGTGAGACTTTATAACCTGTCTAACTGTAAGCTTAACGCGAGGCTTAACGTTAAGCTCGAGGTTAAGCTAGCAGAACAAACGTTTTTTTGCATAAATCGAAGAGCAAATTCGGCAATAGGGAAATAAATTAGCGTAAATTAGCCTTGAATCAGCCTTAAATTATGGCCGAAGAAAAAATTTAAAAATACACAGTGGTTCTGCTAGCTTAATGGAGGTAAACACTGCACTGATGAATGGATTTTTCAAAATGAGAATAGTAGCTGAGTAACGAAAATTTGTGTAGAGTGGTAGAGGAAAGTACCATGAATAATATACTGAAAGTCCTGAACCGTAGGGGATAAGCGGGGCGATAGGGGAGTGTTTGAAGGTAATTTTTCCAAGTTATTATTGAATAATTCCTAGAATAATTCCAAAATCACGGCCTCTAGCGAAAAAATGTTGGTATACAAAATTGAACATCAAATTTTCTATACAAAAGGCTCCATTAATTTTTCATCTACAGTGAATGGTTCCATAGATATACAGGGGATGAAAAAATCGAGAAGTATGAAATGGTATGAAATTGGTCTTAAAGGTGAAAGTAAGTGACTTTGTTGTTTTTATTTCATCTACATTCCAGAATTTCCTTTCATTTTAGAGTTCGTTGTTTTTATTTTAGAGTTGGTTTAAATTTTTAGAGTTTGTTGTTTCTATTTCAGAGTTTGTTGTTTTCATTTGAGAGTTTGCTGTGTTTAGAATTTATGTTACTTTCTTGTTAAATCATTTAATCAGAATATATTCGTGATATTTGTTTACCAAAGAATACCTAATTGTTGTGTTCAGTAAGATTTTAGCTTGCCCAAATTTTTGTTTTGCCTACCCTAACAGTCACTCTGGCTACGGCCCTGGTGTGTTTTAAATGAGTAAAGTTTTTTTTTCTGTTACTATTCACGTTAAACACCAATGTCATACCATTAAACTCTATTTTTGATAATTCTCGATTTTTTCATCCCCTGCATCTCAGAAAGAATTCATTGTAGAGGAAAACTGAATGGAAACTTATTTTATTGTAAATTTCATGTTGCTCAATTTTGAATACCTATATTTTTCTACTATAGGCTACGATTTTCAAATTATTCAAGAATAACTTGAGAAAATTACATTCAATCGCTCCTCTACCGCCCCGCTTATCCCCTAGGGGTCATGACTTTTAGTATGTTGTTCATGATCATGGCACTTCCTTTTACCAATGTACGAAAATTCGTGACTACAAGATTTTCCCCTATTCGACCTATTTTAGCGTTCGTTGATTGAACTATAGATATTCAGGTTTCACCCTTGGGTTTACCTCTTGGTTTAACTGGAGGTTACTATTGTTTTGAATAAAAAATCTCTCAGGACATAATTTGGTCCTGTTTAGATGTTTTCGCGAACATAGTGTTCCCAAAATACCAAGAAAAATACACAATACATTTGGGAAACATTCCAAGAAGCTTGACAAAAATATGTTCTAAAAATATAATAAAATCACTCACCCTTTCCAGCTTCTGGAAATGTTCTCTCAGGAAAGAAATGGGATTTGTGGGACGGCTGACACATAATTGAACAATGCAATCCTTAAGGATCTGCTGTATATTGTGAGCTTGAACGTATGCTTCGCATTCACGAAGAGCCTGCTCTTCATCCATGTTATTGGTTGCCATATTTCTTGATCACAAGATTCCTATTTAATACTAATATAACCGCACTTGGGATGTTAACAGACAGTCTTTGGGTTGATATTTTTCACGTTTTCGCGTTTAGCAAAACTCAAAAAGGAAGAAGGAATCTCAAAAAGTATAAAACAGGATTTGGCTTTGACAGTTGATTCTTTATTTTGGTTCAATTTTGACATTTACAACCAAAATGACAACTGACAACCATTCTACCTACGTGAAGTATGCTGCCAGAGCTGGCTGCCAGAATTTCCGAACTTTCCCGATTGACCAGTGGCACGCGTTTCCCACCTTTTTGGGTATCGAATATCGAAATTCTTCACTTGCTTTTGTTCGATGATGCGATGTATAAATAAGTTCGGCGATGTTGTTAATAAGAATAAGAACAAAATCAATATATCTATCTAACCCATTATCATCATGATTGATATTATTATTGGGAAAACCCTCAGATTGGCATAACCAGCTGGGATTTGCCAGAAAGGAAAAATTATTCCTTCAATTTAAGGAAGAGGATAGCAGAGCACTTTTGCTGGCATTGCAAATGGTCTCTTTTGAACCCCAGCTGATATAAAACAATCAAGTTGAGACAAGTAGCATGATGCTAACAAAAATATATCACAAAACGCATGCTCCAGTTACAAATAATGTTACTGGAATTGCAGATTTGGATTTCCTGAATAGATAACAATCATAATATACTTATCTTCACTTATCGTTAGTTGCATAACCGACTGCAAATAAAAATATGACACGAAATTATTGTTTCATTCATGAAAGAATATAATACTTATATAATAATAATGATAATAATAATAATAATCCATTCATCCATAAATAATATCGTCATTCACATAGCTTGTTTTTAAAGTCTATGAATAAATCACTAATCCTTAACCTTGATCATGGAGTGATCAATGAGTGAAATAATCTCAACAAATACAACTCGTTTCATTGATGATTATCGAAAATTCACAACCACACGCTATGCGCTCGTGTGGTTGCCAAGCAACATAATTTGTTTCTCAAAATCGGCGTAGGGATTCGTATTTCGATAATCATCAATAACACTGGTTTTATTACATACGATATAGCCATCTGATTTTGGTGAAATTGTAGATTCAAGAATCAAAATATTAACCTCAATTTCAGTTTTCAAGAAAAGCTGATGGCTTGATCATTATAAACAGGAAAAACAAAATGTACTCTTTCATCCTGAATATTTAACGCGCTGTGGCAAAAGTAAGCAGTTAAACTTAGCATTATTATGTTTTAGATTGGAATATGATTCCTTTTCAACACAATGGTTCTTGATGATCCGAAAAATAATATAACACCGTGTTAGTTCATAATGCTCTTGTTACATTCAATTCAATTTTGAAATTTATTTCACCAATTGATTCGAATGAAAAATGGTAACTCAATCAGTTGAAATTGAACCGGCAAGGGACATATGTGTGATGTATCAAATGTTATTTTATAATATACACCTATATTAGGTATACCTCAAATGTGATTTTCAATAATAATATAGAGTTATAAGTTGATACGAAAAAAACTGTATTTCATCAGGAATTAGGAAGTTTACCCCAAAAGTCCGCATTCAAGTTGAGATTATCGTTTCAAATGACCCTGTATATCTGTATATTCCATGTTTCATCCCACCACCCTGTGTGATTCAGATATCCTCATTATTTGTATCTGTGATAATCATCATACCTATCTCATTATGAAATAAGAATGTTATTGTTCTGTTTATTTGTGAAATAAAGTTTTTATATAAAAAAAATTATTAGTCATAGATAAATACTTGTTTCGGGAATTGATAGGATCGAAAGGTGACGCAACAAATTAGTCATTCGGGACGAGTTGGTGAATCGTGTCAGTCAGTACTGTCAGTCTTATGTTGGATGTCATCGCGTACGGTCTACTTTGAAGTGCTCGTATCAGTTTCAAGCAAGAATCTAATCACTATATAGTGCATATCGCGAAATAGTATACATGGTTCTTCACAATAATTAGTTTTAATTCGACGTTTCTGGCAAACCAAGATACAAATGAATCTGAAAATTTGATGGTATGTATAAATTTACATGATCTAAGCATCTAAAACATTTTGAACGAAGCGGCGTTGCCACTTCTACTATTAAGTAGCAGCAACTATAACTTTTCGAATGAAACACCCTGTTTTAGATTTTCTTTGAAGAGCTGATTTCATCAATGCGTCATATTTCAACTTTTGATTTATTACTATCTACCGACATTTGATAAGAACAAATACAGGGTGGATTCATAATTCCGATCACCCTGTATATGTTCCAATTGAATGTAAGTAAATAGTAAATCAGCAGTTGAGATAGGGACATATAAGCCGTTTCGACAAATAATGAATAGTTTCGACACAAAAAATCCTCAAGTTTGAACACCCTATATCTCTGACATCTTCCGTGCTAGACCCCAAGTGTGATACATTCATGAAATCAGCTCCTCTTCAGGAAGAATCTAAAAATGCAATGAAAAACAGGGTATTTCTTTGAAAAAATCAAACTTGCTGCTACTTTCTAGTAGAAGCGGCAACGCCGCATCTTCAGAAATATTTCAGACGTGTAGATCGTGTCAAGTAATACTAACCATGAAATTTTCAGATTCATATGTTGCTTGGTTTGCCAGAACCGTCTAATTAACGCTCATCGTGAATCACCCTGTATTGTTTAACGAGCACGGAATGATAATCATTTTAATTAGAAATTAGCATTCCGTGCGAGTTATACACTATACTTTTTCTACGATTAGACAGATATCTGCCATTGCTTGAAATGTGACATTTCATGGCAGATGAGATTTTGTGAAATAATAGCAATTTTGTGTTACATAGCCGTAAAAAAATAACTATTTTGATTCTACAACAGAACTGTGTTTATTAATAAGAGTGGTAATACGGTGTCTTTCAAATACATCGTTCGGTAAAGTGATTACATCTCGTTATTCTGTGTTGTGTCGGTGTTTTGTGAAGTGTTTTGAGAATTCATATGTGGACTATATGCAGATTTCATACTGGTGAGTTTTTCAATCTTTCCTAAAACGTGATAGGCACTTTGCGTGAAAATAAATCTATTTATTACTCCAAGGAACAAGAAAGAATTTAGCAGTCCATCATGAGAATTTTTGTCTTCTCACAAGACTGAATAAGTACTCATTATATAATGCTGTCGTGAAGTGCTGAATGAATTCATTTTCAGCCCAATTATAAATTCCGGGGGAAATTTCCAGTATAATTTCATGCTTCTTCCCCCAAGGAGGAAACAATTTCTGGAAATTTACTTAGTTACCATGGTAACTATACGAAACATAGAGACTTTTTTAATTGGTCGAAAATGTGATTTGAGAAATTTTCAATGATAATAATTCTGAGATAAGAGTTGAGACAAAAAAACTAGGTTTCATCAGAAATCAGAAAGTTGATCTCCCCGTAAACTTCATATATTATTATCATTATTAGTCACAGATGAATACTTGCTCGGGAATGAAAGGATAGAAAGGTGACGCAACTAATTTGTCATTCGGGACGAGGGAGTGAATTGTGTCAGTCTTGTGTTAGATGTCATCGCGTAAAGTGCTCGTATCAGTTTCAAGCAAGAATCTAGTGCATATCGCGAAAAATAGTATACAGGGTTTTTCACCATGATCGTTAATTAGAAATTTCAGGGAAACCAAGCAACTGATGAATCTGGAAATCTTATGGTATATATAAATTGACATAATCTACACGTCTGAAATATTTTAAACAAATCGGCGTTGCCGCTTCTACTAGAAAGTAGCAACAACTATATGATTTTTCAAATGAAACACCCTATATTTCATTCCATTTTCAAATTCTCCCTCGAGTGCTGATTTCATCAATGTATCATACTAAACTTGTGGTCTAGCGGCAACGATAACAGAGATAAAGGGTGTTCTAAATCGAGATTGTTCAACTTTAGGATTTTGTGAGTCGAAACTATACAATATCAGTCAAGTTAGATTTACTATCTACTGTCATCTTTTTAGAACAAATACATGGTGGTTCATGATTCAGAATTCTGATCACCCTGTATCTGTTCCAATTAAATGTCAGTAAATAGTGAATCAAAAGTTAAGATGGCTGCTTCGACGAATAATAAGTTTCGACACAAAAAAATCCTAAAGTTGAAAAATGTCGATTTTGACCACTATATTTCTGTAATCATCCCCACAAGACAACCAAGTGTGATACATTGATGAAATCAACTCTCCAGAGAGAATCCATGAATTTTTTTCTTGTAATATTTGTAAAATTTGTATATCGCTACTTCAAAGTTGGGAACCAACTCCCCAGAAGTCGAAACTTGTGCGGGGTTAGGAAGAGCAGGACCTATAGCTTAGAGTAGAATCCGAACCACTCTAGGGCATCGAGGTGCTGCCAGGATTACAACCATGAATTCCACATTTTAAAGAAAAATGCTCAGCCGATAGCCGGATTCGAACCGACAGTACCTTCTCATCGTGAATGGCTATCTAGCAAATTTCAGCGCATAGACAAACTCGCCCACGGCGCCTTTAATAAATGCAATGAAGTACATCGCATCGTAGATATATACCACCAAACTTTCAGATTCATATCTGTTACTTGGTTTGCCAGAAACTCATAATTAACGCTCATCGTGAAAAAACTATTGTTGAACGAACATTCGCATTCCGTGCGAGTCATACACTATACTTTTTCTACGGCTGAAACAGATAACAGTGCCATTTTTTATTTCTTCGGCTTGTAGCCATATGATATAATGCTCATCTATTAGATAGATCTGTCATTGTTTGAAATTTAGCATTCCATGGGAGATGGAATTTTGTGAAATAATAACACAAAGAAATCAGTACCTCATTAAAATAAGGAAAATCGAGAAATTTTCTGGTATAGCCGTAGAAAAGATCTGTTTCAATTCTACAACTGTGTAAAAGAGTGATAGTAGTCTATCGAATACATCGTTCGGTATAGTGATTACTTCGAGTTATTCTGTGTTGTGCCGGTGTTATGTGGAGTGTTTTGAGAATTCATTATGTGGACTACATGCAGATTTCATACTGGTGAGTTTTTTAATCTTTTCTAACACGTGATAAGCACTTTGCTGGAAAATAAATCTATTTTTTTTGTGACGGGAAAAAAGTTTGGCATCTCATCTC